CATAGCCGGGATCCTAACAGGTGTTACCACTCCGGGTCAGGATGGACTTGGGAACACCAGCAATTAAGAGGTGGTTCCACGCTCCTCAAAACCTCCGGATAAGAGACCTTGCTGCTGGACGTAGTTTATCGTCTTACCCAGGACGGTGAGCAAGTCGGTACTCGATAAATATTCTAGCAGAAAATATAATCACAAATCAAAGTTAAATCGTTACTAACATTATACAGTGTCACCCGGATGTAAGAGAGTTGTCGGGACCGGAGAAGAAGTCTCTTATATCCGGGTTTCTCTTATATCAGGGTTTGGTCTATTTTGTTTAGGTAAGTATGGGAACACTTTGGGACCAAAGAAAATCTCTCTTATATCCGGGTTTATCTTATATCCGGGTTACACTGTATATACAATTTACGCATTAAAACCGAAAGTGTTAATCCAGACCCCCGATCGTTTTGCGGTATATCCTATCACCGTTCATGTTGATTCTGTTTTCAGGACTTTAGATTACTTGATTGCTTTGTTGTTTTTCTTATGGTTTATCAAATCTTTGTCTGTTATTTAAAACCGAATATATATTTTACATTGTAAGAATAGTTCTTTCTGGTGAGTAAACGTTGCATTAAGAATTTACTTGGAGGCAACAGGGCTTTTTCTGGACACAAGTATTATTTAACCCATATCTAGGGGCAAGAAATGGATTCACACTCCTCCCATGTGTATTTACGCGTAACTGATTCCAACGAACTCGACTGGAATTCGAACTCAGACATCCGATTTTTTTAATATCTATCAGCAAGATGATAGACAAAGTGATGTGAACGAGTTAGTAAATTGAAAATCAAATTGTTGTTTTTACAAATAATCTTCAAAAGTCACAAGAGCCACTTGAGGTAGACGCTTACAGATCAAAAGTTAAGAGGCTCATTTTATGTGGGGGAAAATGAGAGTTAAACCTCGACTTGAACAGGTTAAGATTGTTGTGTTCGGGGAAGCATCCTCTTGGGAGTCGGATCCATAAATTATCAGTTAGTGGGAAGAAGCTGTTCGAGTGGAACTTACATCTCAGAAGTGGAATACGAATGGAATGGAAGGTTCACTTCAATGAGCTCTGCGGCTTTGGTTAGCTAACCTATCAGAACGATATGATTCGTATGTCCATTCTTATGACACTCTTGAGAATAGACGCCTATCTCAATATGTATTTCTGTTTCTCTCTTTCTCTATTTTTGAGTGCGTGTTTAGGTGCATGTGTGTGTCAATGTGTGTGTGCGTTCGCAGGTATATTTTCTGTATTTGTGTGTATAACTAAGAATGTGATTTTAACTTTGATTTTATAGAGATTCCTGCAAAACAATGACTATGTATTCGCGATAGTGTAAAAGTATTTCCAAAATGTTTGTCTTAAATGTTTTACGTTTTTCATGTATGTGAAAATATACGCATCCTCATTTGCACATGTGAGGTATTAGATTTGAAATATGCCCTTCCGAGGATTGTAACTATTTCATTCTTGCAACGACATGAAAAGAAACAATGATGGAACAAGAAATCTACGACAGTGCGATATTTTTGTGCCAACACATACCGTAATTCATGTTTCATATCCTTCTTTAGTGCCAACTTTACCAGATGGTTCCACCGAAAGAATCCGGACAAAGAACGACAACAAAGCGAAAAGACAGTCTTAGTTCGTCTTCAGAAATATGAAATATGGTAAGTATGAATCATTTCATACAATTTCTTACCAGTGCAATGTTCATTCATCCAAACCAACTTTTGATACCGGACGTCTTTGTTAGAACATTTTTTTGTCCGGATTGAAGATGAGAAAAGGAAAAAAAAATCAAGTGCCTGGTATGAAATATATAATACTGGATCTTGTATCAACGTAAAAAAACGAAGCTGAAATTCGAATCTGAATTATAAAATATTAATCCTGTCAAAACTTTCTTTGTTGTATAGAACAGTTTTGTTTTTACTTTCTTCTAATATACGATTTGATTATTCCTTACTTTTGCGCCTGTTAAATAACGTCAAGCCTCTTTGGTGACTTTGGTGACTCTTATATTGATTTGGAAGAAAACTATCCACAGTTCATTTCTTTTCGTGTTCAGTCAAATTCATTAAAAGCAAGCGGCTAGTGTTTGACCATTTGAAAGCACCAGATCGGTCGGGTGTCGGTGGCCGTAAAGGCGTAGCATTTCATTGGGGACAAAGAGAATTTAGATGTGTAGCACGAACATTGGTCCCGAGAAAGAAGAAGAGGGAAAATAATGTTTTGACATATGTGCTCCCTCCAATTTATTCTGCAAACACCGCGAATTGGCACTTGAGATTCACGGGAGGTTTGTTCAACAGTTAACGACAGAGAAACAAAAACCTGACAAATTTAATAACATAAAATTTATGAGTCTAATAGAGAAAAGACGCACAAAGGCATGCCCGAAGACGCACACATAAACAGACATACATCTCAATCTGTCTCTCTCTCTCTGTCTCTCTCTCTCTCTCTCTCTCTCTCTCTATATATATATATATATATATATATATATATATATAGTAAATGCAATAAATCCTTTGGTATATAATCCAAATGGATGCTAGTAATATCAAATATTAAGACTGATCCACAAAAAGAGCTCAATGTATTTATTATTACAAAGCAAATATACAATAAAATCCCAAATCACCACATATGGGGCATAGGCTTATTTCAATCTATAGCGGGGTTGAATAAGACTGACGAATCTCTTCGGTTGAAATAAACCTATTCCCCATATGTGATGATTTGGGATTTCATTTTGTACTATATATATATATATATATATATATATATATATATATATATATATATATATATATATATATATGCGTGTGTGTGTGTCTAAAAATGTCAGATAGAGTACATTTGTAAAAGGACGATGAATAAAGACAAAATGAAAGCTTAACTAAGCCGAAATATTACTTCCTCCGAGGGACTTTGTTTGCCTTGATAAAGCCACTCGGAGGACGAAACGCGCCGGTAAAGGTAAGTTTTCCTTTTGCCTTTATTTACAAAGACACACACAAATATATTTTTATTATTACTGGTATTTTTATTATAAGTGATTATAATATAAACATGTTGGAATTTCTACACAAAGGTTTTCATGTTTCAATACTTTGATTGTACTTCTTCAGGCGATGGTAAGAAAGTGGTGATTAAATGATTTTTATTATAATCTTTTATACTAAATATAATAATATATTGTTCTACTTTGTATTGAGCACTTTTTAAAAGTAAATGCTACGAATGGTGGAATTTTACTTTTTATTCATCGAGTCTGAAAGAAACCTCAACAGAATGCAGAATGTACTGGACGGTCGTTTCGTCCTATATTTGGGACTCATCAGCAGTGCGCATCCACTACCGAGAAATCCGGACAGTTACTTTATCCGGCAAACGTCATATCAACTCTACCAACGGACCTAGGTAATGAAGAGGTAGCGAATTATACTCGATATAGCGCCGCTCGATCACATATTCCGTGGTGGAATGGCGATGGGTATGGCGTGAACATTGAAGTCAACACTCAGAGGCGACAGGGTTTCATGCTAAATGCAATCAATAGGTCATCTGATATATATATATATATATATATATATATATATATATATATATATATATATATATGTAAATATGTATGGTTTTAATTGTATGCTATATGTATGGGATAAAGTGTACAATATCAGAGATAGAGCGTATGTAAATATAAAAGTGAATATTGAAGTGAATATTTTACCGATTGAAACACTTAAAGTGTCTTAAAATAATTTTCGGATTTTGTTCATTTCATAATGTGTGACGTCATTTGTTTACATTTGGATACGCATCGAGCAGATATGAATGTACGAGAGAAAATCATGGAGAATTGTAGTTTAAAAACAGTAAAATCGACCTTGCTAACCGAAACGCAAATAACTCTGTGATGCAATCGGTAAAAGCATGTCAGTCTATATGACAGTTCCGTATACGATACAGGTTCGATTTCTGTCGGCGGACGCATATTTTCTATGAAAATTTCTCGGACATTAATGCCGGTTAATGTCGTTAATATTGTTTATTATAATTTACTTAAATATTTTTGTCTATCGGAGAGCCATTACATTCTTACGTGCTAATACAGACCAGCTATTGGTAATTAGCAGGACAGATAGCATTAGATAGCAAGTGCTCTAGGAGAAGGACAACACTGAATTCCAAACTTGCGGAGGGGTGTTTGGGGACCTTGTATCCCTTGTATTCGACCCTTTGAAAAGTGTGGTTGGTTCTACACAAGTAAAATCAAATCGTATGTGCTGGTGTCTGGGTTTTCAGTTCCTAGGAAATATGCTGCTTACACACACACACACACACACACACACACACACACATATATGTGTGTATGTTTGACCCTGACGATCCATTTAGGTGAAACCTAGGTAAGTTTACCTGGCTCTTTAGGTTTATATTAGGTTTGTTCTATTTCGTGTATTGAGCACTTTACGCAGTTACTTTTACTCGTTTTGGAGGTTTTTTCTTTGGACTCTGAGCTTGAATTCTGGACGATTGATTTCGCCTCAATTTCATGGTCTTCATTCTTTTTTTTATCCCTTGGGCATTGGTTTGTTCATTTACAATACCTTAGGTTTTTCCAAGCAAGTACCACTATATATATATATATATATATATATATATATTTCTATTGGTTGAACTAGAATTTTCCATTACTTATTTCTGCAATATACAGAGGTTATTATTATATGGTTAATTGAGTTCGTATTCAAGGTTCGTTAAAAGTTTATAATATCAAACACTAATTTTCTGAAAGGTAAAAATACCCCCCCGACGCCGCTTTTCGAAATTTTCTAAAAGGTAAGAATCCCCACCCCCACGCCGCTTTTCGAAATTTGTGTTGTAATATCTTTCGAGTCCTCCATTTTGAACATGAGGCATTATAATAGATTACTATCGTGTGTCTGCTTCAGAGAATAATCGAGTATAAGAGAGAAAGAGAGATTGACAGAAAGAGAGTGTGAAAGGGAGACATTAAAAGAGAGAAAGAGGAAGTTACAGAAAGAGAATGGGAGTTAATAACATGTATAGAAAAATAGCGAGACAGAGAGGGTGAAATAATGAGAAAGCGAAGGAGAGAGAGATAAAAGGAGGGAGTGATAAAGAGAATGAAAGTGAGACTAAGAACGTAATACTGCGAGAGAGACAGAAAGAGAGCGAAACAAGAGTGAGTGAAAGAGAGAATGAAAGAAATAGAGAGAGAATATCGGGGAAAGAAAGGGAAAGCGAAAGAAAAGGTGACAGAAAAGGGAAAGAAAGATTAGTGTGGGAGAGGATTTTCGTGTGGATAAAAAAACAATTAGCAATGAATAATTCTCTTTAAACTAATTTTATCCCCATCATTGTTTACGATTAACTTTAAAACGCACGTATGTGTATTTCACACAGAAACACATATATACTCAAAAGCAGGAACGCGCACACACACACTCGTGCACAGACACACAAACACAGACACTTCACTCCCTTTCTGTTACAGACAAACTTTTCTTCTTCCTACACTCAAAATCACCCAAAGATATTTTCTCTCTTTGACAAAGGCACACGCGTTTCCCTCTCTCTCTCTCGCACACATACACATACACACGCACACACACAGATTCACACACTCACTCTCTCTCTCTCCGCCTCAGTGCATCTCTCTCCCTTTCTACCACAGACGTTCTTTTCTTCTTCCCACGTACAAAATCACCCAAAATATTTTCTCTCTATCACAAACGCACACACGTTTTTTTCCTCTTTCTCTCGCAAAACACACAGACACACAGACACACACAGACACACACACACACAAATTTTCCCTTTTTCTCCCCCCCCCAATCACTTTCTCTCTCTGGCGTACATTTGCCATCTCTATCTCACGCCAACAGTGACGCATTTTATCTCTCACAAGCACACAGACAGGTTCTCTCTCACTCACGCCCACGCGTAGTGCACTTTTTCTATCTCTTACGCATCTCCACTTTCTCACTCTCTCTAAATCTCTCACTATTCAAGGTTCTTCATAGATTAGTTTACTTTGTAAAATATTGAAAGTTGCTGCTGCACAATCATCCTGTTTTCATTTCCGATCTGAGCTTAAAATATAAATCCATTTAATTATTAGATCAACCAAAGTTACAGTAAATCATGGCTTGGTTTAGTTTGTTTTACGTCATATCAACACCAATGCGTTATTTAATGCCGACAAATTTTTCCTCAAAAATGTATAGCTAGTGATATTATTTAAAAAAATGTATTGCTGGTAATATTATTTTTTCAAAAATATATTGCTCCTAGTAGTTTTTTTTTCCTTGAAAAAATTATTTCCAGCAATAATTTTTTACAAAGTATTTCTGGTATTAGAACCTATTTTTACACTTTTACAAGGTTTTTTTCCCTCAGTTTCGGGTTTAACTATTTACCCATAACTGGGACCCTAACAGGTGCTACCACCCCGGGTCAGGGTGGACCTGGGAACACCAGCAATTAAGGGGTAGTTCCATACCCCTCAAAACCTCCTGATCAGAGGTCTTGCTGCTGGACGTAGTTTATCGTCTTACCCAGGAGAGACAATAAATCATATATATATATATATATATATATATATATATATATATATATATATATATGTACGTATGTATGTATATGTCTGAGATGAGGTATTATGATTACTTGCATTATTTAAATCATTCGGACTGTTATTCGCATCTTCATTGTAATATTCACAATGTTTCAGGTGATAGAAATTTCCAATCGAACCCTTTATTTCTTCCACTGGGGTAGATTGTTTTAGTTCAGTCAGATATTGAAGAAAAATTCCAATCATCTGAAGAAGGCGGAAGGGTACTACGATTGAAACAATTTCAATATGGCAATAAAAAATGAGTATAACAGTCCGAGTAATGTAAATAATGCAAGTAATCATAATACCACATTTCAGAGATATAGACAGATATTAAAGACACATTCTAATCACCTGAAGGTGTCCGGGGCCTATAACCGCCGAAACGTTGTGAATATGGCAATGAGGATGAGGATAACAGTCCGAAAAATGTAAATAGTTAAAATACATCATCGCAATATCGATATAATCGTTTCCAAAAAACATTTTCTCATTAATTTTATTCACACTTTGGCCTTGTAGCAATAGATTCTAAAGTAGGTCTTTATTTGTCCCTGTGATATCAGATATGGAACTAAATATGTGGTTGATATTTAAAAATAAGAAAAAGCAGATGTGCATTTCAACATCGTTAAAAAAAATTGAAATATAAATAAAGAATACCTAACACGTGCATTTCTTTATATTTAGCGTAGATAGAAATTTTCACACGTAAAATAGGGGATATTAAAAAGTAGAATTTGTCTTTAGATGATTTAAAAAAAGTTTTAACTGAATTCCTTCAAAAAGATCGTTATGTTTTTATTGGAACAGCTGTCATATCATAGGGCCTTAATATTTGTCGAAGTTGAACTGTATATGTTTATTGAATCTAAAATAAAAAAAAAATAAAAGATATTTTCAGTATATTATGCGATATTATTTTAAAGAAGATAAACGCAACACAAACGCCGTATATTCCTTCAGTTTATTGGTAATGTGCAGAGCAAGATTAAATTTGTCAAAAGTAGTTTACGAAATGAAATGAAATTTCACACGGAACAATGTTAACCATTGACCTGATTAATTTGAAAGCTTCTATTCGTTAAGGCTGATGGTCAAGATATTATTTGTGAATGATAATGAATATGATAAAAGTTGAGGAAAATATTTACACCATCTTGCTTATGTTAATCACTTTGATGTGTGGATTCCATTTAAGTTGAATAAAAGAGATACACGGTCATGTTTTTGTGTTTGTTTCATTAATTTATTATGTTTTATAGATAAAGTGTGCGATTAAGAGAGCATATTTTACAGTTACACAATAGATATATAGATAGATAGAAACAGACTGATATATAAAGAAACAGACTGAGGACAGGCGCAAATGGTAGATAGATAGATAGATAGATAGATAGATAGATAGATAGATGTGAACACAGCAACACTGCCTGGGTATTTGTACATATTTTGCTGAAAGTTTTATTTTAATAAAATAATAGTATCCTATTTCTAAACTTATGTAGAAACTATATGTAGCCATTATTATCCGAAACGTTTTGACTCAACAAGATATAAATACTGATCAATAGTGCATTATCTGTAGTAAGGTCTATTGTATTAACATAACTTTTATTTGTGTGGGCAGTGAGGATTGTTTGAAATTGTTCTAGAGTTTATTGAATAGGAATAATTGTAGACCCGAATGCGTTTATTTCTGGTTATTTTAAAATGTTTTTAAACTTTGACTCCTTATTTATTATTGATTAATTATTTGTTTATTATTATTATTGTTATTATACATTTGTGAACGTCCCCCGGTGTCGCTGCGCCAAATGTGACGTCTTTCTGGGTGCGCCGCCGTGCTGTCCTAGTCGCGGCGCCAATTGTGACGTCACCCCGTCTGTCTCCGCGCCGTCGCCGTCCTATCCTGTCCCGCGACGACCAATATGACTTGGTATTGGTCGCGGCACCAAATGTGACGTTTTAACCTTTTGCTGATTCGGATGGGAATCTGGTTAGATTCGGTATCAGCTTTGTCGTTCCCAGCTCGACTCCAACGTCTAGTTACCGAAGTAACTGTTTTGATTTCTAGTCTAACCTACCCACGTTGTGATTTGATATTAGGTAGACGAAATCAATCAGTCGCCAGGCCGTAATGCAAGCTGAGTCCGGCCAAGTGTAACACCACACAAGTATAGGTAAAAGAAAATAAAATAACTCGAAAAGTTCAAATGTGTTAAAAAAAGGATAACGATACTTTATATCTGGTTGCTGAATACAGGACAGCGTCTTCTTCCCAACCCGCTATATGGATTCGTGACACTTTGTGTTTGTTAGGCGAGTCTTAACATCTTAAGTTGTTTGTTCTTTAAAAACTGGTTCTTGGTGTATCTTCAGGCGATATTCATAAGACTTGTTTTGGTGGTGTGAGTCTAAGTCGTTCTTCAAAAATAAATTGTTCTTGATTAGAAGTTGAGGTCGATAATGCGCGAATCTTTCAAGTCAGCTATCTGCGAGGCGGGTCTTCATAGCTCTAAGCTCACTGCAACGGCTTGCCTGTCTATCTCCAACCTCAACTGGAACTTAACTGGAACTGGAACTGATTTTCACTCACTGCGACTCTGCTTATATGGACGCAGACCAAAGCCGGGGTGGGTTTCTTGGGGTTTGAGGTTCCTTCATAATTCTAAATCCACAATCCACTTCTTTGTTTTCCATTTTTGGAAGTCTTTTCGTCCTCCCACCTTCTTCTGTTCTCATATTGGTATATCACCATACCCTCAGAGGGTGTCAACGGGTTTCCCTGCACAGTGACAACTCACACCTATCCCTTCCGGGGGGCGCAACAGGCCTCCCCTCCTTCTTCACATGATTACCTCCGCCTAACGCTCACGCCACCATTCAGCCAATGGGCGCTCAGCGGCGTGGGTGTGGCCAGACTAGCCTCGGCTTGAAAAATCTTGCTCAAAGAAAAACAATTATCTTCCTTTTTGTTTTTTTCTTTTTCTTTTCTTTCTCTTTCTTTCCTTCTGCTCGACAACAAACCCTTGGACTCTTATCTTAGCCAAATGTCACTTGGACTTTATCACCCGGGGTTTTCGCCAAACAAGTGGGTGGTCAACTGGACGTATTTGCATTCAGTCGCTAATTAACTGTTCCAATAAAATAGTTTTGCTATCATAGCCAGCCCTGACAATAAACAGATGCTCCGCTCAATGATATTCTGCATATAGACAAACGCTTAATCTTTCCTTCATGGTGGTCAGCGGACATTTTTGTTTTTCGGTCAGCGCATGACATATTTAATTTTTATCTCTTTAGAATTCTGCGGGAGGTCGCTTGTTCAACTTGAAATGTTTGCCATTGCCATGGGCAGATTGGATATATCTTATTCGTCGCCCCGTAACATAGATCAGATTAAATCCAGTATCTTACTTTCTCGACAATGAAAATAAAATTTTAGCATTTTTCTTTGTGAAAAAGAATAACATCGCTTAGTGTCCTTTTCGTGATGGCTTCTTATCACCTAAATTTAATTCTCGCCTTTCTTTTTTCCTTCTTTCTTTCTGGCGACGTAAATAGTGTCACACATTTGAAAATTAAAAGCGAATACCTTATAAAATATCCCTATGATAAATGCAAATATATGCACAATATAAACGCAGATAATGTAAAATACATTAAACAAACAAAATACCTGAAACTGAACAACTAATATAACAAACTCCAAGAAAAAATACATAAAAATAGACAAATAGATAGATAGATAGACAGACAGATAGATAGATAGACATATAGATACGAACAGGCTGAGATAGAAAGATAGGCAGATAGCTAGATATGAGCAAGCAATGATAGATGAATAAATATGAACAGGAATAGATAGATAGATAGATAGATAGATAGATGCAGCAGCTCAATGTACTTGTTACATTTATTTTTATTAATACATTATATACATACACACACACATATATATATATATATATATATATATATATATATATATCTAATGGAATATAAATGCAGTGACAGTCTGTTTCATGCTTCAATGCAATCTTCAGGCCATGTGTGTTGTATTTGGTTCGACTATTTATATATGCTGACCAATGGTGCATCATGGGTAATAAGGTATTTTGTATTATCCTTTAGGCGATAACGGATATGATTCAAAATATTCTAGATTCAATTGATTAGTAATAATTGTAGATTCGAATATGCTTATTTGTAGCTATTTTATAGCGTTGCTCATTTTCCAGTATTTATTTATTATTGGTTACCTATTTATTTGTTGTTGATTATTATTGTCTCATTTAATTGTTTTTTTATGTGTGCATTAGTAGTTTGTTAATTTGCTAATTGTTTACTTAAATTGTTTATTTATTTATTTACGTGTGTTTGTAGGATGTTTAATATTATCCAAATCAAATGGAGATGATATGACAAAGAAGAAAGACGCATTTCGCCGTAGAAAGCTTATGTTCGCTTTGGTATCATCAGAAAGACAAATCTATGTCTTAGGAAAAAATGTCTTGGGATCTCTGAAGATCAGTTGATGACGTAAGTCACATTAATTACCCTAGCTTATCCTTTCCTGACTTGAGAATTGAAAAGAGTTTGCCTGCCTCTGTTCTTTTTTTTTTTCTATATCTGTATTTGTGTTCTTTGCTATTGTAAGATTTTAATTAGTGGACTTTTTTTTTAATTCTTTTCTGTATACACGTATATACCTACACATATATCCATAGCGATAAACACACAACACATCACACGCACAGATACAGACATACATATATATATGGAAAGAAAGAATGAAACAAAGAAAGCAGGCAATGGAAAAAAAGAAAGAAAGAAAGCAGGCAATGGAAAGAAAGAAAGAAAGCAATGGAAAGAAAGAAAGGAAGCAAGCAAGCAATAGAAATGAAGAAAGAAAGAAAGAAAGAAAGAAAGAAAGAAAGAAAGAAAGAAAGAAAGAAAGAAAGAAAAAGGAAGAAAATGTTGTAGTCATAAATTTCTGAAAATTTACAAAATTTCTGGAAATTTACAGACTCTCTAGAAATTTAAAGAGGGGAAACAAATCTTGGCAAAGAAAAATGTTAAAAATTGATCATCAGAAAAAAGAAAAGAAAGGAAGGAAGAAATGAAAAGAAAAAAAGAAAGATGAGAAAAAGGTAAGATTAAATATAAAAAGAAATGAATGCACAAGGAAAGAGAGAAAGAAAAGACAGCAAGAAAGAAAGTGAAATGATATTTAGTTAGTGGAATAATCTTAAATTTTGAGAGAATGAAAAATCAAAAGATGTAAAAACATTAACGAGAATAATGAGAAAAATAATGAGAATAATACATCATAATTGAAATTGAAAATTTCAATAAGTTGTTGAAAATATGTGACACATTTCAATTTGCCTGTCCTTCGCTTGCTTTTCGTCTGCTTTGCTTGGATAATCAGGTTCATTCTAAAAACCCGACATATAATTTTCTTTTTTTTAAATTCTTTTTAGTAATTTTCTTACTCTCCGCTTTTTCTTGATATACTGAAGTTTTTAACGGCAAAGAAATTGTTTAAATATGAATAAAGAGAGAGACAGAAGAGTAAGCCATTAGCTTAATGCAGAATAAGGAGACCATTTTGAAAATACACAGAAGTGCAAAAAATTAAATGTTTTCTGAAGAAACATGATTATAAAAAGACAAAAATAAAAATTAGTAATGCCAGAGAAAGAAATATTGATTCTATACAAAAAGGAATTCTGAAAGGGAAGAGAAGGAAAGAAAGAACAAACAGAAACAAAAGAAAGAAAGAAAGGTTTTAAGCGAAAGAATGAAAACACGAAAAGGAAAATAGACAGAAAGAAAGTAAATACAGTAGAATCCCTGACAACCGAACTAAGGTCTTCCGGATATAAGGAATTGGTTACAAAGTCCGGATATGAGGGGTTATATTTAGATTAAAATAAAAGAACTGAAATCAGATTTAACATTTATTTTTAATGTTTTATAATAAACAAAATAAGCTAATGGTGAGTGAAATATAACGGAATTGATTTTAAGGAAAAAGAAATAAACTATGTAATGTATTTACATTAGTCGGACTATTGTCCTCATCTTTGTCGCCATATTTGTCACAACGTTTCGGCCGTTGTACATATACGACAAAGATGAGGACAATAGTCCGACTAATATAAATACTATACATAATACCTCATCTCAGAAATATAGACAGAAACTATGTAACGTTAATAAAAATTCATGAAATACAATACAAATAAACTGACGAGTTTTTTGATCGCTGTTGAATGATGATTCTTTCTCTTCTAATATTCTCAGCTTTTTCCGCATTTTCTTCTGCTTTTGTTCTTGAAATTTTTAAATGAAAGATATTTTTTTAATCTCTGCGTGCGTTACTACAATCGTCATAGCTGAATGCTGGTTTTCTTTCCATAAAACTGACAACCTTTTCAATAGCTTTTTCAATTTTAGCCTAGGTTCCATCAAAATCATATTTCCTTGTTCATTGTGACAGTGTGGACGCTGGACAATAGTTTCTTTGGAAGACTTTATATCATACAATGTTGACTATCCAATGTTGAACTCAGCCATTAGATACGATGAAATTTCACCAGCATTAGACGTGTTCAAAATTAACACTGTTTACGATAACTCCAAAGTTGTTTTTTTCCTCTTATTCCCATCATCTTTTACACCAAGACAAACCATTAGGGTGAAATAAGCATATGCCATTATCCAAAGCAAATTTCCTGAAAGACAGAAATTTCAAATGAGTTGCATATCAGCCAAATAGTTCAAATATACACATCAAAATCATGTCCGGATATGAACGATTCCGGATGTAAGGCACTCCGGATATGAGAGATTCCGGATACTACTACTACTACTACTACTACACACACACACACATGTGTATGTGTGTGTGTGTGTGTGTTTTGGCTATGTTTGTGCATATCTCAGAATAAAGCCCCAATTAAAATGCGTTATAAAAGTACGTTATAAATACGTTAAATATAAATACGTTATCAATATGTTCAAAATATTTTATAAATACGCTAAATATAAATACGTTATAAATATGTTATACATACGTTAAATATAAATATGTTACAAATTCTTTGAATATAAATACGTTATAAATACGTAAAATGTAAATACGTTATAATTACATTAAATATAAATATGTTATAAATATGTTAAATATAAATACGTTATAAATACTTTACATATAAATACGTTATACATACTTTAAATATAAATACGTTAAATATAAATACGTTATAAATACTTTATATATAAATACATTATCATACGTTAAAATATGTTATAAATACGTTAAATATAAATACGTTATAAATATGTTATAAATACGTTAAATATAAATATGTTATAAATATGTTATAAATACGTTAAATATAAATAAGTTATAAATACGTTATATATAAATACGCTATAAATATGTTATAAATACGTTAAATATAAATATGTTATATGTTAAATATAAATACGTTATAAATATGTTATAAATACGTTAAATATAAATAAGTTATAAATATGTTAAATATAAATACGTTATAAATATGTTATAAATACGTTAAATATGTTATAAATACGTTAAATATCTGTTATAAATCCGTTAAATATAATTTTATTATAATTACGTTAAATTTAAATACTTTATAAATATGTTAAATATAAATACGTTATAATTACGTTAAATATGAATATGTTATGAATGTTAAATATAAATATGTTATGCATTAACTAAAAATAATGTAAATAAAAAGAGTGTGGATTCTTATAAAATGTTAAACAGAAATCAGTAATTAGATAGAAAATACAGAAAAAAAACCCATAAATTTGATGTCAAGAGAGAGAAAGAATAAAACTGGTAAAGGAGGAGACGGCAAATATCAAAGAAGAAAAAGATCGCTAGTTAAGAATGAAACAATGGAATAAAAGCACGAAAATAGAAAAAAATGAGAACGAAAAAAGGAAGAAAGAAAGAATATAGAAGATAATGAAAGAAGTTAAGAGGAATAAAAAAATGGAAATGAAAAAACGAAAAATAATATTGTATATAAAGTAAGAAGGAAAGAAGGAAAGAAGGAAGAAGAAAAAATGAAGTAAAAGAAAGAGATAAACAGTATAGAATGAAAAGCGGGTCAGAGAAAGAAGAAGACGGAAAAGAAAGAAAAAAAAACTATAGAAAGTAAAGAGAGAAAAGGAAAGCGAAGGCAAAAAAGAAAAGAAACGAAAGTGAAAAGAATATAAAAAAAAATATAAGGATTGCAGGAAAATGGCGGAATTAAAGAAAGAAGGGGGAAAAAGTGAATGAATAAAAAAAGAATGCAAGCAGATTAAAAAAAAAGGAAATGAACAGAAAGAAATCGAAATAGACAAAAAGAGAAAGAAAAAGAGAAAGAAAGTGAAAAATGAAGAAAAATCACAAAGTAAAAGTAAGAAGATTACTGAAAAATAATCGGGTCGACTATGAAGTAAAACTCGATAAATTCTGATATTTCGTCATTTGTTAGTCAGGAACTGGGTTGAGTCGAAACTTTTTAGTATCGTCTCCTATAAAAGAAATTCAGGAAATAAAAGGAAGAAAGAAAAGGGGAAGATGAAGAAAAAGAAGACACGCAGGAGAGAAAATTTGATTCGGCTTCCTTTCATAATGTAAACAGTCAATATCGATCATCGCTTATTGACTTTTGATCGAATAACGTAGATGGCTCGGATATGTTGGCCGTTTCCAATGAATCTCATTGTGGCCTTTCGAAAAGAAACTTACTTTTGCTGCTGATGCTCCAGACAATCGCGATGAGGACGAAAGTGAAATGTTCAATTTCTACAAGCGCACTCAGTGAACCTTGACCATTGCGAAAATATCAAAATCAGTGATCTAATATAAACGTTATTTCTAAAAGATGCGCATACACACACACGGTCACACACATGCACATGAACACAGACACATAATCTCTTAGTCTTTTTCCCTCACGTATGTTTGAAGTCGTTTGGCAGGAAAATGTACAGAGAAGTCGACATTTTAAATTCTATGACGTACTCTCAGAAATTACACTATATTAAACAAAATCACTCACATATATACATGCATACATACACGCATACAAACATACACATACACACAGATATATACACACACACACACACGGTCACACACATGCACATGAACACAGACACATAATCTCTTAGTCTTTTTCCCTCACGTATGTTTGAAGTCGTTTGGCAGGAAAGTGTACAGAGAAGTCGACATTTTAAATTCTATGACGTACTCTCAGAAATTACACTATATTAAACAAAATCACTACATATATACATGCATACATACACGCATACAAACATACACATACACACAGATATATACACACACACACATATATATATATATATATATATATATATATATTTATATATATATATATATGTGTGTGTGTGTGTATGTGTATGACATATTTAATTTTCTGTTGAACACTACAATTTTGGTCTCAGAAAAAACAAAGAAACTGATGATGCTAATGACGAAAGTACTCGGTATAAAATGAATATAAATCAACATGGTAATTTTCTTTCTTCCTTTAATAATATTTTAACTTTTGCGTAATTTAGGCGACGACATATCCGTCGCACCTTTACACACGCACACACACACACACACACACAAATATATATATATATATATATATATATATATATATATATATATATATATATATATCAGGCTCGTGCTGTCTGTAATTACTCAGGTTAGACACCTTGTGACATTGATATAGTAAATATTCAAGAAATTTTTTTTTTTATTTTCTGCATAATAATCAGTAACCTTTATAATTTTGTTGGATTAGGTGCATATTGTGCCATAGGGAAGAGGTTATAGTTGTTTCAAAAAGGCAAAAGTGTAAATTTTAAAAAGATAAACCGCAAAAGTTTCGGGTTTAAATGTGGAATTTAAAAAAAATATATTGAGCGCTTAGCCTTGGAGCGGGTAGAATGGAGATCAACGTGTTTTAGTGGACTCAGCAGCTTTCAATCTGCTTGTCTGAATCCTTGTTCAAGAAGCGAGATCTAAAAGGTCAGCCAATCTAACAGTGATCTCATCTCGCAATCATCACACTTGCTCTATATGTGGCCTCTTTTTTGAATCACTAGCGGGTCTTAAATGCCACAAAATCTCATAACTGAATCAACTAAGATGTCACATCCTCATACATTGAAACCGACGGGAGAGTCCATAATATATATATATATATATATATATATATGTGTGTGTGTGTGTGTGTGTGTGTGCTAAAGCTGAGGAAAATTAGAGAATTCTTCCGCAAATTCTATGCCTGTAGTGGAAATGGAATACCCTACAACTTATAGAAAAATTGTCCAAACGTTTTCAAGCAACTCCCCCTCCAGCGGACATAAAAACAAGTTATTGTACCACAAAAACATTTCTTGGCATTTGGCATTTGGATATCTCTGCGAAAAGAATGAAAAGGCATTGCAAATTTCCGCCTCCTCTCCTTCATGAATGTATAGGGGAAAATCTCTTTTAGGGTATGGGTCATCGTACCTCTTGCTAGGTAACCATTTCATAAATGTAGCTTTCATGATGGCTGGCTTACCTAGTTTTCTGGCTGTCTGGAACATTCGGACATGATTTGGAACTAAAGGCCAAACAAAATTAAATTGAGCTTTATGTAATTTGGCTTCATCTCGATGGTTGGGATATCTGGTTTCCCCGGCTGTCTGGAACATTAAGACATAATTTGGAACTCAATCCTATCAGTCAAACAAAATTAAACTGAGCTTCATGTAATTTGGCTTCATCTCGCGAATGCGTATTGATCAGCCTTTCATGAGTTAATTCAAATGTCCCTCGAATTTTTCAATGTTCCTAGTAAGGTTGGGGAAATGATAATGAAATATTTCAGAGCAGCGTTTGTGCAGTATATCGTTGGTAACTACACCACCAAGTGGCAAGCCCTCCTCAAGATCGGCATAATAATGGTGTGTGGGATTTCATCACTTCTTTCCATTATGTCCATGGAACTCCTATTACGGTTTGCAACGGACACAGCAAAGGGAGTGATGACTAAAGAACATATGGTCCTTCGTCTTTCAAGAGCGTTCATGGATGACATCACCATTCTGGTCCCGTCTAATGCCGGTGCCGATGAACTGCTTCAGCGCGACCATAAGGACTTCACCTGGGTGAGAATGAAGGCTAAGCCCAAGAAACTTAACTAGGAAGATTTGTCATGGATCTTCACTTCTGATAGTCAAAGAGTAGGCAGTGAAGAGCCTCGGGTAGCTGTATGAAGTTTCACTGACTGAGCGGCAAAGAGGTAAAGAATTGTAGAAAGTGGCACTACATGGACTTGAATCCATCAACAGAACCCATCTTTATGGCAAAGTGAAGGCAAGGTGCTACCAATGTTGGTAGCACGAAGCCTTCCCTTTGCCTCGGCTTCTGTGCTCGTTGGAGTGTATGATATTGCTCCGTCTCGCATTCAACAAACGTAGCAGTGTATCAACAAGTACCTGTGCAAGTGGCTTTCCACGCCCTGCATCTCCACAGTGGGACTCTATACTAAAGCCGGAAGCCCGCATCATCCCATCTCCTCATTGGTGTTCAAGTTCGGGAAGGTACGCCTTCACATGATGATGGGGGGACACGGACGATGTCTTCGTTCGCAGGCTACGGCCAGATATCCAAATTGGCACGAAATGGTCAGCACTAGACGCCTCCTAAGCAACTGAATGCAACCTGCGAACCAAGGAGATTATGGGCTGCCCTAAACTAATCTGGCTGGTCTGGGCAGCACATGCAACTAGTTCTTTCTCCAGACAGTGTACAAAGGGTACACGAGACGTGGTGATTGAAGAAATAAGGAAGAGCAGTCAATAGCTACGTCTGTTTCTCAGCCCAAACAATGTGCTTGGACTGCATGTAGTGATGTAGATCCAATGAAGATATCATAGAAAAAGAAACCTGTTTGCAATGGAACCATTGGCAATATCATTCTTCCTGCGATCTCTCTATGATCTACCAAATGCGAGCAAACCTAAGCTTTGTGAGTGCAATGAAGCTGATGCATGCGCGTTCTGTCAAAGTGATCGAGGCACTTTAAGTCACGTTCTATCTGCATGCCAACAATCACTGCAGTCGTACACGTGGTATCATAAGAAAATGGTGGAAGTGGTCATGGACTTAGTAATTACACGGTGTGAAGCAGCCAACCAGCGGCTTGTAACGGCCAGAGAAGCTAAGATCCGTTTTCACAAGGAAGGTGAATGCCCTATACGAAAGCCCCAAATAACTAATAGCTTGACACTACTCAGTGGAGCCCCTGATTAGAGGGTGTTAGCTGATCGTTGATAACCTCTGCAATCTCCAGTACATATCATTCAGACCGACGCACGGCCTGACATTGTAGCGTGATCTGATTCAAAGAAAATCAACCCTTCCATGTGATGAGAACAGGGAGGAGGCGCACGAGCGAAAGAAAAAAAAAAACCCGCCACTAATCTCTGCGATCTAACTGCTTGGAAAAGGGATGTACATATCATGTGATACCGAGGATTCCTTGGACGGTCATTTCTTTCCTTCCGTTTGAAGGTGGGCATAACTGGCCGGAACCTGAAATGTGCTTCACATAGTTCAACAGACATCGAGTTGGATCTGGTCAAGATCCAAAATAAATAAGGTTAAATAAAACCATGCTCGCAACACAATGCTACTTCCAGCGTGAAAAATAATCTCTTTACCTTCCATTCTACGTTATTGATAACGCTCGCTCCGAGCACGTTGTGTATTAGTTAACGATCTAAAGCAAACGCTTTTAACACAACGATAAAAATCTCAGTTTCAGTTGTAAAAAGATATCGCAAGATACGTTCATGTTTAGCCCCCCCCCCCCAAAAAAAAACAATACCCTATCCGCGGGCAAAAGCTTCTTGTGGCGTTGGGGATAGCAGTATTAACTGCCGATACTGTGCTGGCGGCTGTCGAATAATTTCACATGCTGGATGTAAAATCACAAATGTGTTTACTAATTTCTCGTAGTGACACAGTGTATATGTATGGAGAGGGAAAATACAAATATATACACGCATGCTGGCAGAAACACACAGGGGTCATTAAAACATTAAGAGATAAGACACCGATAACTAATTCTTCATTTGTCTCGGACTGGTCTTCATTGTTTTATGACCCTTCGAGCAGAACTCTTCACTGCCAGTTCAAGGAAGACATTCGGATTACTGACACAAAAACAGAGAATGTCTCATATCGAGAATATTTAACACCGAAAAACATAAAGGAGAAAAAATGAATAATAGTATGTGGAAAATCTCCACCCTTTACCTGACGACGGTCGCGAAACCAGAAACACGTGTTGTAAAATTATGGAAAATAAAGCATAACATTAAAAAACATCCACATTACAACCAAAAACGTTTGCGGTATCTCTCTTCTTTTTAATATACACACTTTTCTCTCGCTGAACTACTATATCCTCTTCGTTATATATATATATATATATATATATATATATATATATATATATATATATTTATTTGAAAAAATTATAACATAAATATCTTATAAAATCACTACAAAAATAGCGGATTTTGTTTCAACATTTCTGGTGTCTTATCAAGTGATGGTGTTGAATGTAGAATAAAGTTTTTTAAAAGGTTCGAATCAATCAAACACCCCTCGCTAGGGGAAACGCTGTTACATAAGCTGGAATGATCAATCAAAATACAAGTATATGAAAATCTTTTTAAAAATTGGCAACGAAACTTGTTTATGTTGTGGTAAACCCTCCTACAGTAGAATGAACTCTTCTTCCTCTCATAAAGACTCACTTGAGAAGTCGGTTGGAGAGTGTAAGAGCAGTGTTAACTTACCGTTCGGGCGTACACCGATATTAAAGATATTGTGATGTGGACAATTATCACATGTTACACGATTTGGAAAATTTGGCTGTTATTTATATGTTATATATATATCCATCGTTTGAAGTGTCATAAAAAGTGTTTTTGCTTGTCATGCATTTTTTCTGCATGCCTGTAAATGCTACTTTGGCTTATGCGCTGAGATTATCAAATTTAATTGCGCGTTCTAACAGTATTTATCTATTATACATTTAACGATTCAAGAAAAAAAACAAGGAGACTCCAATTGTGCATCAACAATAAAATATATATTGAAACAATAACATACAAAACAATCATGCAATGGTGTGTAATAATTAAGGGAGAAAAAGTTGCTTCCCTTTAACGGTATTCTGATTAAGATTGAATGTTCAAAAGAATTTCTCTTGAATAAGAATGTTCAGGATGCTATTCTATTCTGGTGCTAGAATAAAATACAGTTAATTAAGTAGTGTGTTGTTTTGAGAAAGTAATAGAGTTCTGGTTCATGAACTTGGCTTAGTCATAGAGAGGAAGACTATGTTTAATGCGATACAAAAATTTGTGTCAGTGTGTGCGTGGTGAGTAAAGTCGTGGATTTGTGTAGACAGGCGTAAATAGCTGGACTCTACTAACGGTTGTAGAAAATATTGCTTCTTTTAAGGCTGCCGGTAGGCTCCCAGCGAAAATGCGGGAAAGTTGATTTAGCACAAAAATGTTTGATTGGTTAAAATTCGACCAATCACTGATTTTGTAACAAAGAAACATGTGAGCAAGTTCATGGCAGTAAAAATTAAAAGTGGTGACTGCGATTGCTAAATTGTCTTATGCAAAGTCAGTATCGATTTACTAGCCAATCGCAGACGAATAAATTGTGGGCGTGGGAAGCTACATGCCTGCAAATCTTTTCCTTTCTGGACCCAATGAGTGTAATTATTGTTCAAACATTTGTTGATTCTAAGTTGTTTCAGTTAAACCATTTGCCATTGACTTACTGTACTTAGACTGATATTACAATGAGAATGTTTCCAAGTTGTGTGACTATTTCAAGGATTTTGGTTGGCTTTCAAAAAAAGTATTCAATACAGAAATCAGTATAGTATATTAAGATCAATAAAACAGAATGTTAGGAGTAGAATCTAAATTTCAAATAACCCGTAACCAAAGTAAAGAATTAGAAGTTAGATATTTCATTCCAAGACATGGAATGAAAGAAATTTTGTCAGAATCTTGGTCGTTTCCTAAACATTGTTAAGCATACAAAGTATTTATCAAAGAATTGAAAATTCTAATACAAACATAATGAAGAGACTGGAAGCAGTGATTTTCTGTGTCAACGTCTTGATTATTCTTGAGAAAGATTATGGACATAATTTGGAAATTAAGAGATTAGTCTTCGATAATTTGAACTGATAATGGCAAGTTTTATATAAGATCTTACAATTATTTATTTTATTTTTTTGGTGAGGGCATTACTTATTACCAAGAGCAATGAATACAAATGTCTGAATGTTCATGATATTTCTTAATGATGAAACCATTATATTTAAAGTAGTATTTTCTTATTTAGGTTTTGACATTTTATTTGTTCTTATTGCCTTCCATATTCCTGTAACTGATCCAATCAAGCTGTTAACAGATCGACTTCTATTCATATTGGTCCAGCATCAATATGGAAGGATGAAACAACGTTAAGGTGTTATTAATGCCTTTAACAGGCACCTATTGTAGAGAAGTTAACTAACATGGAATGAAAATGGAAAATGAAAAATTTTCACAAGTTAAGTAAATACTATAATACACAATGAAGAAAATATAGAAATTGCTGAGATTAGAAACACTGAAAACTAAAATGAGAATGCATATCAAAAATATTTCAAGAATACAAATATATATAGACAAACCCCATTATATATATATATATATATATATATATATATATATATATATGTGTGTGTTTGCCTGTATTTCTGTACACACACACACATATATATATATATATATGTCCTTTATATATATATATATATATATGTCCTTTCTCATTCGTACTTGACTGACCCGAGTGCTTTTCTTCCTGTTGGAAATTATCTACATGATATATGGACGTATTTTCTTTACTTTTTAAAAATTCTTCTTCCGTCAGTCATTCAATCGGGATTTACGGTTTTTATATAACCACTCAACTTTGCTTTTTGTCGGATTTGTCGGAAATATCAGTTTTGTTGAATGAGGTGAGGTTAACATTTAACATGTCTTACTGGAACAAGAGATCAATACAAAATGGCATGAGGGAATTAAAGATCTGAAGAAGAAGAAGAAGAAGAAGAAGAAGAAGAAGAAGAAGAAGAAGAAAAGGAAGTGAGAGCACGGACAATGATTAGAAGATGGGTGGTGAGAAAAATTGAATCGGAGTTGGAACGAAAATATAAAGAAGAAACACTTGATAAATACAAACTGAGATGGAGAAAATTGAAAAAAGGCAGAGATAAAAAATATAAACAGAATTTACTTATTATTGCCTGTTCACCAACACTCAGTATATGATCGAGAATTAATATATATTGTGTAGAATCATATCACACATGCACACACGTACACATATACACGCGTACAAACATACACACGTATATATATTTTTTTTTTGTATTAGTGATCTAAACGTCTTTCTTGACCTGGCAGTGAAAAATTCTCTCCTCTCTCTCTGTATATATATATATATATATATATATATATATATATATATATATATATATATATATATTTATCAAAAAATTATAACATAAATATGTTATAAAATCACTACAAAAATAGCCATTTTGTTTCAACACCCTCGGTGTCTTATCAAGATTATTGGTTATTGAATTCATTCCGAATATACCAATATATATATATATATATATATATATATATATATATATATATATATATATATATATTGTGATTACAAAACTACAGCAAAGAGAAAACAAAACGCAACCTTGATGTAATAATTTTCATTTCAAAATATCAATTCTCACACTCTAATGAATCATACAATAAATAAATGAAATAAAATAATAAAAAATTGATATAATAAAAAAATATGCAATTAAAAAATACATGATTAAATTAGACAGATAAATAAACAAAACAGATGACAAAATGTTTACCCATTTTTCCGATTTCCAAACCCTTTTTCAGGCATCTATATATAGATCCCGTAAATATAAGTAGTATCACACATTGTGATAATCACTTAAGGCGTAAAACAGAGACAAATCCCGAATTGCTAGTTTTTATGATCCACTATTTCTATCTATTAGATTAATGCAAAAAATCACACGCAATTAGAAGCAACATTTAAAATACATTCATTAGTCAAGTACATAAACTCTATTGATTGTAACAACTGTCTTCTGTCGTTCTACAAGCTTATTGTTGCCATTTTTCTAGAATATTTGTGTTTATTGTTGGAAGAAATTTATGAAGTAATTTTCGAATGACTGAACAGTCAACTTTTTGCCATTTACATTGTTCATTAGAGACCGGACCAAATAAAAAGTCAAAGGAACCAAATCATTTGATTACGGTGAATGCTACAGTGTCTCCTATATCGACTTTTTAATCTTCTGCAAGTCTGTTTTTCATCTTACGGCATCGCTGGGTAAATGGCGCCTTTTCGATTCACTAAAATCGGCTGTTTTTTCTAGAAAAGGCCGCATCGGCGGGTTGGTCGCAACACTTCATTGCAATTATTGTTTCGCCGACTGGAAGAAGATCAAAGTGAAGTATGCATCTGCAATGCAACCAGATTGATAGCAAGACATACACTGGATACAAACTTGTTTTAGCCAAGTGTTCTACATTTTCACAATCTTGTTTCCAGCTCCGTTTGTGGGGTGTTATCATAAACAACCCATTTTTCGTCGCGTGTGACAATATTCCCCAAGAACGGCACGGTTTGTGGCATAACATCAAAAAATCGGGGTAGAAAGACAACCGAGCTAATTTTGTTCCATCAGAAAATATGTCACACACGTGTCGAGTTTAGAAACGAAGCCAAGTCTCTTCAAATGTCAGAACGCAGTTTAGATTTTCAAACTTTTAGAATCCTCTTCTGGCGAAATCTGCGATTTCTACTCCGCGATGCCACTCAGAGGATCTTCATAGAAGTCGGAAGTTCGCTTTGAGAGTTCTGATAAAAATCAGCCTGACGAAATCTGCGAAAGCGCTCTTTGACAGTGTGAACGCCATGAGCACGATTTAATTAAATCTTCTGAATGTTTTTTTTTGTCTCAGTCCTGAAGCTTACTCCTTTCTGAAATTCACTGAGCAGACTATGGCGAAAGTGAAGTTTTTATCCTTCATCTTTAAGGGATTTATTTGTGGACAAAGCGTCATCATTTATCAAAGTCTGAATGGTGTGAGATTGACACCAAAACAAATTTTATATTAACAATGAAAATCGGATACGATCTTTTGCAATGATCTATCTATCTATCTATCTATCTATCTAAATGTAGGTACAAGGATAATTCTACAACTTATGATAAAGGAGGCACAGTGGGGTAATGGATTGCAGCTTGGATTGAGGAATCGGAGAGCCGAGTTCGAATTCCAGTTCAATCCATTACATTAACTTACATGCTAATACCCTTGGGAAAGGTGTGAATCTTCTTCTCCCTCCAGCTATGGGTAAATAGCAGGACAGACTGGCTTCTATAGCCATGGACTGCAACTGGTCTAGGAGAAGGAAAACTTTGAATTAAAAACCTGCGGAGGGCCGTTTGGGGACCTTGTGGCACATAGTGCACCAGGTTTCTGTATTCGGCCCTTCAAAAAGTGTGGATAGTCTTGCACGAAACCCTCACCACTATAATCAAATCTCGTGTCCTATGCATGCGGGTTGGTGACCGGTTGTGAATTCCAAATTCCCATGAAACTCCAATATTGGAGCAGGCTCAACCCACCCCGGGTGAATGCCGTTACAGGTATATGATAAAGCTTTCACTGTAAAAAATGAGACCTGAGTGATTAATGGAAAATCAGTGTTTTTCGTGCATAAAAATGGAGGCTGATTATGTTGAAAAATAAATATATGTCTCTCGTGGCCAAACTGGTAAGTATGTAGATGATGTTCCTTCAAAAATGGAAGTGTCAAGTGAATTTTTAATGTTACGTACCTATCATGGCTATTCTCAGATTCTTTTCTATCATTATCTGTGAATTGCTAAAGAATTTATGGAATTATGGTGGACTGGTTTCTAATAGGCTTCGGCATGGTTTTGAATTCCGAGTAATTGTTCTCCTCGACTGGATACCACCAAAGACAAGAAAAGTAGTCTTCCTCACTATTTAATCTATAGTTGCAAGTAAAAATAACACTTTCATAGATTTTTGCAGTTGTATTTGTGCATATGGGGACACGACAGAGAAGGAGGAAATTTGTAGTCAGATTCGCCATTTGAGCCATTGTAAGCAATGGGAGAGTTTTAATGAAACGAGGAACAAAATAGATGCTTGCACTTAGAAGCAAAAAGAGATAGATGTCATTTCGAGAACATACAATGAGGAAAGTGGGTTTGGAGAATTTAACACTCATAAGGCATATTATAGGTAAGAGGTAGAAAGGAAAAAGTCAGTAACCAAATTAACGTGCTTGTGCAAATGAATGGCAGAACAGGAGTTGGGTGGAATGGTTAAAAGGAGAAATATAGTTTAGAGCTTCAAACGATAAGACGCTGTGGAGAGCTTAGATCGCTCACGTCAAAAAGGAATCATTTCAGCAACGGGACAAACCCTCTTCCTTTTTTCCTTATTCCTCCCTCTTCGATAGCCTGCAACTTGCTACAAGATATCTTGTCAGCCGTTTCCAATGGTTCAAAGAAGTCTGTCTTGGAATTATCAAAAATAAATGGTGGTTCTGAAATTATTTTATTACTCGCAATGACATCAACTTTGTTTGCATGAATGAAGTTGAGGAAATACGAAAATCCACAAAAGCGTTATTTATAAAGATAACCACAAGAGAAATTCGAATATCCAATCTAAAAACACCTGGGATTGATGAAGCGCAGTACACTTTTTCTCAACATGAATTCCATTTCGCCTATCTCAGCTAAAATTAGAGGCCGATCGTCTTTTTAAACCACGTTTGTTTCTTTTGTTTGTTTTGAAATGAAGGAAAATCAATTTTTCCTTCTCTTTCAGAATATTAAACATTTACATAGCCAGATGTTTCACTATACCGTTTTTCGATTTGCTTTGATTAACTTTTTTTCATCGCTCTTTTAAAAGACTTTTTTATGTGTGAAAATGTTGATTTTTACTGAGCAAACTGCTTTTTAAAGTTATCTGTTTTACGGTTGATGATTTTTTTTTGTCGTGGATGCTTTCAAATCGATAAAAATAGCATTGTCTTTCGATATTCACTGTGCTGAACTTTGCCAGGTACAAGGCCAAATTTGTGGGAAGAATATGGTACGACTGCAATCTTCTTTCTAACATGTTCTTTCATTCTAACATTTATATGAACGTGACAAAATTCTTCCAACTTTTCTTATGTTCAATCGGAACCAGTTAATGTTTCTTAACCAATTATTACTTTTGTAAATATTGCTTGAGATCTTTTATATTATAAAATAATTAATCGTGCACTAAGATCAAGGATACAATAGCTTTCTTCTCTCGGTAATGTATGTAGACATATATAACAGTTCTTCTTTCCTGTTTTTCAATGTATAGTATGCTATATAAATGCTAAAGATTTATCAAAGATTTTTTATGAATAAAAGCAAAATTCTGGTTAGTTTGGTTTATTTTATTTTACGACATATGCGTTATTTAATGCCGACAAGATTTTTACATTTAGTTCGTATGAATAGAAAACCCATTCTTTTTAAGAAATCAGTTTTTAGATTAGGTTTCATTGAAGTGTTTTTGTAAAGAGAGTTTTTGTTGAGAGTCAAATGTATTGCTGGTAATATATATTTTTTCAAAAATGTATTGCCAGTGATATTTCTTTATGCATTGTTGATATTTTTACTATAAACATTTTTATACTTTCATTTTGTTTTGACCCCAGTTTGAGTGTCAAGTATTTGCCCATAGCTGAAACCCTAAGAGGTGCTACCACCCCGGGTTAGAATGAACCTGGGAACAACGGCAATTAAGAAGTTGCTCAATCCTACTCAAAACTTCCAATCTCCGATCAAAGACCTTGCTGCTGAATGTAGTTTATCGTCATACCCAGGACAGGAAAAATTCGGTGGTTCATTCCTAAAAAAAATCCCACATTTAGGATACATTTTACGATGGTAATTTTTGTTTATTTACAGTCTTGCGAAAGAAATTAAAATTCGTGGAAAGAAAGAAGAAAAAAAAAAAAGAAAAAAATCTTACTCAAGAAAATTCTTCTTTGAGGAGCCGACTGATTGATTTGATTTGATTTTTACGGCTTA